TGTACAAGCAGTAGTAAATCTAGATTTTATCAAAACTTAAAAAACATTTTTTGTACTATCACTACCAGTAGCTACTACCAGCACAGCCTCTGGTCATGCTACTAGCTGTAATCCAAAGAAGTAATTTTTGGAGCTCTACACTTGGTGATGAAATGTTTTCTAGTCCATGTGACCAAAGTCCTTTTTACCTGGAGAGACAAGAAATCAAACCTGCAAAGCACATGCTATACTGCTAAGTAATGGCTGTACCAATTACAGTGGGGTCTTGACTTGAGAACTTAATCCGTATTGGAAGGTGGTTCTCAAGTCAAAAAGTCTGTAGGTCAAGTCTCCATTGACCTACAGTGCATTGAAAACCGATTAATCCCGTAACAGGCCGTTTTTGTTCCATTTTGGTTTTTTTCTGGTCTGCAAGTCAATTCTCAGGCTGCAAGTCAAACCTAAATTTTGCGGCCAGAGAAGTCTGTAACTCAAAAAGTCTGTAAGTCAAGCCGTCTGTAAGTCAAGGGTTCACTGTAATGCATTGATAGATGGTATAGCAACTTTCCTCAACAGGACTGGGGCTGTCACTACTAGGTGAGGAAAATGTCCAGAAATTCCATATATGTTTTTTTTTTAATTCTGTGGAGGAAAAATTGGGATATACATCTAAAAAAGTAATAACAGTTGTGTAAGAGAAGGGCAGTTTGTGGAGTTAGAACGCCCCACCTTCTTTCCTGGCAGCGACAATAAAATCATTGAATACCCCACATTACATACCCTCCTCACCATTAGACTTCCTTGTTCCCCTGAGCCCAGCTGCAGTCTTCACAGTGGTGACAGGGAGATTTTTCCCATCATTTTTATACTGTAGTGAACTGTATCTCTTATAAGATTTTGAGGTGGCTTGGTCCTGAATGGGTAATTAAGACCTGTTCCTGATAGAGGTGACAATAACTGCTAGAACTGATCAGCTAATCAGACATAGATACACATTTCTCCTGGGAGAGGGTGGCTGTCATGGTGAGGGCCTGCCCTACCCTTTAAAATCTACTACTACAATAGAAGCCCCATATCCATGCTGGCTTGGTTCCAAGTCATCCCCCCCCCCCGCCGTGAATACTTAAAAGCGCAGACAGTAGCAAACACCTAGCGAACATCTAGTAAATATGCTTTTAAACTGTAATTCATTGATTTCTTACTTGTATGGAAAGATGACTTTTTTTCAATCAGAAACCTCTTTTTCTACCAAGCTAACAATTATCCTGTAGCTTCTCTGTGAAACTTTGTTGCAGGCATTCTGAAAATTTGGCCTGGATTCGAGGAATGGATCTGCAAAATTTAAACAGCTTCTGATGATCTGATTTAATTGACTGCATGTGACCGTGGATGAGTGAATCAGTAGATCCCATGGATACTGGGCTTCTACTGGACATCATTAGTTAATAAGTATTCCTTTGAGCACCAGCTTGCTTCAGCAGCAGCATATCTGACAAGGGATATATGCCTTAACCCAATGACATTAGGAGACATACAGAAGCTTATTTGGATGGGGAAAGGAAGATCACATAGGCTTCCCTAATTGTAGGAACCTGGATGGATCAGGCTGAGAGTCCATTCAATGAAGTTAGTGGCATAGAAGTTGAACCTTCTCTTGATACCCAACACCTGATTTTTAAAAATACAATCCTTTCTCAGTCAATGAATCCAAGACATTTTTATGCCTTGGGAAAAGGAAAAGATGGCACTCTACTCTATTTCAAGTACAAGAACTGCCCAGACTGGCAGTTGGATTCTACTTTAGTATTGGAATTGGGAAATGGTTAGCCAGCAACCATGAAGGCAACAGACTAATCTATAGGGAGCTAAGTACACACAGCTGGATTGTTCGTGAAAAGGGAAAAAGCCAGAATGCCCAGGAAAAATTGTTGTGGGGTGTGATGCCACTGTTGCCACACAGCTTATTGCTGCCTGAGACAGTTGTTTTCAATTGGCTTCTGCTAGTACTGGCCTAATCATCACAAAAAAACAGACCTCTGGAAATATCTTCATTTTTACCCAGCAACCAGTTTACGCAAATGCTGCGATAATTTGAGCCATGATGAACAGGTAGAGTGCAACGGAGAAAGCAAAAACAGTTCAGCAAATGTTGGAGAAGAATCTGTAATTAGGTGAGTACTCACAAATGTGTGCCTTCTTCTGCACACTGAGTTCCTTCCATACAAACCCCGGTAACCTAGTTGTAAGCATACTGCTATGTCTTGATGGAGGAGTGGGAAACAAAGGGACCTCCAGATGTTGCTGCATGGCAACTTCCATCAGCTCTAGCCACCACAAGCAAGGATGAGAGAAGATGGGAGTCGAAGTCCAGCAACACTGGATGGATTCCCATCCCTCCTTTAGAAACTGATCAGAAAGAGAGATTTTGTGAGTCCTGACAGGCGAATTTCACCACCCTACAGGGAAACAAATTCCAGTTAAAAACAATCTTTTCTGTATAGCACCTAAGAATGAGAAATGAAACACTTTAGTTTCCCCTCTCTGCTGAGGAGACAACACCTGCTTTGCAAAAGTAGGAATACAGCAGGAACAGGTCTATCACCTGCAATCAGCCTCCCTGGCCCCCACCAAGGCCCACAGTCTCACGAGGGCTCCAAGCCTTCTTGACTGCAGCTACCACTCTTTCCTCTGGCGCCGTCACATCCCCTTACCCCTTTGAATGTGTAAGAGTAATAAGAATGGAGAGATAAAAATATAAAAAGATGCCCACTGGATCAAATCAAAGGCCTGTCTAGCTCAGTATTCAGTTCCCACAGTAACCAGTCAGCCCAGTGCCTAACAGAAGCTCACAAGCAGGATGTAAGTGCAACAGCACTCTTCTGTTCCAAAGCAAATGTCCCATTCCTGTAGCGGTTTCATCTGGCCACAGTGACACATGCCTTAGTTACATCCTGCCTGGATTACTGTAACATGTCCTATGTGGGGCTGCCTCTGTTCAGAAACTTCAGCAAATCCAAAAAGCAGTAGCCAGCTTGCTAACTGGGCTAGTCACAGAGATCACATAACACACACACACCCCCTACGGCAGCTCCACTGCTGATTGATTTCCCTTTATGAGCCTGCTCAGCAGTTAGGATCCTGGGATCTTTCTCTTGGTCCTGCCACCTTCACATGTGCTTGCTGGTGGCTCAGGAGAGGGCCTTCTCTGTTGCTACTCCCAGACTTTGGAACACTCTCCTAAAGGAGACATCTTTGCTGTCCCTCTACAAGCAGGTGACCTTTCTCTTCAAGCAAGCTTTCCCTTAATAACTAGCTGCCTGAGTGGAGTTTTTAATGGATTGTTGTGCCTTACTGCTTTGAAGTGTTCCAACGTTGTTTCTGTTTATCCTGTTTTAGTTTTGCATTTGTTTGATCCTTTGTAGTATTTGTATACTTATTGTTTTTAGCTTTAAATATTGCCTTTTAATGATGTACACCACCTTGGTTGGGTCCTTCTTAAGGAGAAAGGCATGGTAAAATATTTTAAATAAATAAATAAAAGGCATAGTATCTCTTATTATTGCAGCACAACTAATAGCCATCGAGTAGACAAAACCTTGGAACTGAATCAGCTTTCAAAGCTGCTCATATTGGTGGCCATCTCTGCATTTTGAGACCACCAATACCTGGTTTAATCATGTACGATGCAGTATCTGTCCTTCTCTCCTTGAGCTTGATTGGGCCCAGATGGAGACAGAACAAACAACAAAACAGGTAAGGTGGAAAGCTCCTGAATGATATCTCACCCCATAGCATTAGAACCCTAAGCAGGAGGAGATGGCCCTCCAAACCAGAGATAAGAAGAGAAGATGTTACTGGGAGGCAAAGATGGAGCCATGGTATCTTTCTGCATCATCTCCTGCCCTTCTATCAGGGTGGGCAAAGTGCAGTCCAGTCTAAAGCTCTTCCAACTCTCACCATTCCTTACCATTGGCTACTATGCTAGCTGAACCTCAAGGAAGTTGCAGTGCAACCACCTCTGCAGGGCAGCACTTTGCCCATTCATTTCATACACAGTTTACAAATCCTTGTACAGTATAAAGGAAATTCAGAAGGACTAGTCAAGAAGCTTTGCCATGAAACCTGGGCCCTCCAAATGTGTTGGACTACCTCTTCACCATGCTGTTTGTGGCTGATGGGAGTCAGTGTCCAAGAAAATCTGAAGGGACAGCAGGTTGACAGAAGCGTGAAGGAAGGAAACAAGAAGGGTGGGGGATAGATTCTGGCCTTTAGGTCAAAACATGGCATGAAACCTGTTTCATGCATGTTGGACATGCCTATCTAGTTCTTTGATGCCCACAATTTCTATCTCAACCACGTGTAGCAATTCCTATCCCCACAGCCAGGCTTTCTTTGCTCACAGCAGGACTGACATACAGGCTGGCACACATGTCCCTCCTTGGAACTACATTTCCCCCCTATTTTCTTTCTAGTGCTCTCTCCCTATGCTGCCTCACTTTCTCTCCCCACTTCCTGCCTTCCCCTGTGCCCCAGAGCCTACAGAGACCTCGGGTTTATTTTTAACTTCCCAATTTTGCAAAAGCGGCCTTTAGGAATTGTCACCACGGATGGAAGGGGGGGGGGAGAGAAAGGCTCTCCACGTTCGGCCCCTCCTCTTTCTCGTTGTGGGTGGGAGGGAGGAAGACGGCGTACAGAGGAGGAGCGAATGGGTGGTGAGTGGCCAAGCAAAAACCTGATGGAGGTGGGAGTGAAAATGGGGAAGGATGGCCTCCTCGAACTCCAGGAAGAGGCATCTCGCCCTCCGTTATGAAGCCAGCCAGCAACACACGCCCAGAGGCACCTGCAGGGCACGGCGGTCTCCCTGTCCCCACCTTCCGCTGCCTTGCGCCTCTCTCCGGCGCCGAGCGCTCGGCTGGCCAAAGCAGCCCCCGTCCCTCCTTGCAGCCCAGCCATCCTCCGTCCGTAACGGCCCCGCTTCCCCGGCAACCGGGTCGCCCCCGCCGCCTCTTCCTCCCCCCTACCTCCAAGGTGCGGATCTCCTTTTGCGTGAGGTCGTTGGACGTGGCGCATTTGGTGCGCAGCCCTTCTAGGTTGGAGATGCTGATGTCGATCATGTTTTGGACCAGCTC